TAGCTCGAAACCAACCCAAACATTATCGGTGGTCAGGGTGTATAAACGGGTCTTAATATACCCGAGAACCTTAGCGTGACCAGTGAGGTGGTATAATTTCATCCTCATCCCCTCCTTAGGTTTTGGTAGTGTTCCCAATTGTTGCCAGAACTCTTCTGACATAAGAGTAATGTCAGCCCCAGAGTCTAGACAGGCTTTCACTTCTCCCTTGCCAATAGATTGGACGTGAGCTTTGATATGAAGGGCTTGAGTTCCGAGAGAGCCTAACCCTTCAGGCTTTACTTCCTTCCTTACGGCCATTATGACTTCAGAATCCTCAGGGATGTAGCTGTCTGATTTCGTCCTTCGCGCAGGAGCTGGAGACGTTTTGGGAATTGGGGGAGCCTCCGGATCCTCTATTTCTTCTACAGTCACTTTTCTCGACTCCGTCTTTCGGGCTGACGATGAAGGCAAGGACGAAGGAGAGGGAGAAGGGGAGTTGGTAGACGATGAAGAAGCGGTATCCATCTGATTCCAGTGCAGTCCTTCGTCGTCCGAAGGGGGATCAGGATATCCGACTATATCTTCCTCGTCTGAGAATAGATCCTCCTCTTCCATTCGATCTGAAGCATCGCCTGTATTAGTCGTAGTGGCTAGTTTAGAAAGTTTGAATTTCCGTCGAGTTGTTCTGTTAGCTCGAGGGGGTTCTTCCATTCTATGCTTCCCTTTCTTATTGGATTTCATGTCGAATTTATCTCGTCTTCGTTCGTTTCGCTTCCTCTTATCCTTTACTTCGACGACTTCTGTAGATAGCGCCTCCTTTATGGGTGGTTCGTAGTCAGAAGTATCTGCCATTTCTGCCGAGATAAGGTTGTAGTATTCTACGTCCAAGGCATCTATCTCCTCCTGATCTATAACCACGTCTACCGAATGAGCTGCCTTCGCAAAGAACCTAGCGTTATGAGGACAGTCTCTAAAGAAGTGCTTGGGACTGAGACAAATGAAACAAGGACCGGGGGGAGGAGTCTTGCTGACTACTGAGTCATCGCGGGAGTAGCTGTACCCAGCGAGAGTCCGTCCTTTGGGCCAATCAGTGCGTCTCTTGTTTATTCCTTTCACGACTACTTGTGCTTCTTTCGTCACATTAGATCCCGTCCCGCCCTTGTCTGATTCTTCCGGAGAAACTGCTTCGGCTGTATGAATGGACTTCGCTTTCTCGATGCACAGACTGCTGTAGTACTGAGCAATGAGGTTCGCTTCCATCGCCTTTGCCAGCTTTATCAGCTGCACAATGCTAGGACACGATACCGTGTTGAGAATTGAGCTCCATAGAATCGGTTGCCTATTCATGAGTCTGTGCGTAACGGTAGAGCCGTCCACTTCTCCTGGGTGTAGGACCATGTGGAGGCGGATTCGACGATTGAAGTACTCTTCCGGCGTTTCACGCGAGTGTAAATGTCCTCGACGGAATCGCATCGCATCAAATTCAATCCCTCGGTCGTTGAGCCATTCATCGTTCATGAAATGATCATGCATTCCTGTCATCAGACATTCCCAATCTTGAGAATAGTAAGCTTGGTCCTCCATCGGCAACGTCATCCACCATCCTTTCGCCGAACCCGTCCATCTTATCGGGGCTATCTGTCCTATTTCCTTGAAGAGTCTTTTCGATAGCCGGGCCAGTAGAGCGATCTCCATAATATAATCAATCATAGTAGTGGGGTTTCCATCCCACTGCGGTATCGTTCCTATGTTAATTTTATTATTCAACTGCCATTCCCCTTTATTTCGGTCATGTCCAGGGTTCTTTTCAGGGTCTACGCCGTAATTGGTTTCGTCTCCGGGAGGATCTCCTCCAGGAGGCCCCTGTCCTGAATTTCGCGCATTGTTGTTAAAATGAGGAGGGTTTTCGCGATTTGGTCTATGAGAATTTCTGGATCCTGACGGCGATCCTCCTCCTGAAGGTCCGTCCCCATCAGGAGGGCCTCCGCCATTCGAAGGTTTCCCATTTCGTCCGAAATTCACATAGATGGAACTAAACGTGGTCGTAATCGGCTGTGCTGATGCCGCAGCAGGGCGATCCACGTGAGGACTGGCGAAGCGAGCGCTTTTATGGGTTTGTTGAGTTTTGGCTCGGGAGCTACGCGGACGACCGGGTTGGACTGTGACCCATGGATTACGGGGATCGGTATCCTCATGACTTTTCCCTCCATCGCCTCCCATGTTGGAGTTGAGACCAGAGAAGTGACTCAGTGGGTGGTCACGGTTTATCGCCATGGAAATCGAGGTCGGCGGGGGAACGCGTCTACGGTCTTTTGAAGACACACTGCCGAATACAGAGGGTAGATTTGAATGAGCTCCGGGTAAAGAGCCTTGTGTACGACTCCACGCTCGGGGTGAGTCTAGCTGCTCATCATACTGTAGCTGCGGATACTGAGCTGGTCTCTTTAGATAAGGAGGACTGTTGATCGCTCGGCCAGCATTGACCCATTCCTCGACTAACTGGTCCTTGTAGCTTCGTAGATGCTCTGGTAGCCCTCTTTGATAGTCCTCCCTCATAGCATGCCTAGCCACTTCAAAACGAGGAGATAGGAGGCCGTAATTCGATCGTATATCCGAAAAGGTCGAGTTATACGAATGATTGGTAAGAGGGTTGTGAAATTGCCCGAAAATGGCTCGGATCGTATTAAGGTCCTGTCGTACGTGGTTTACTGCGCCCTTGCATCGTATTTGCAGCGTATAGAAGCTTAATTGTATATGATCTAAGTTGTCTCCCATAGCCAGCTGTTTGAGGATAACAAATCCTTTATCGATACTAAAGGAGCGTCGCGTGGACCGGTCCAGCAACAAGTCCACTGCTGAAATGATTTGAGACATCCCTAGCGTTACTTCGAAGGTATGCATCAAGATCTTGTAATGCAAGGCGAAATAGGATTTCCCGTTTTCCGGTAGTAATTCCACGTTGTCTCTGGTCAAGTTTATCACGCATAGCAATTGCGCGTAATCTTCTAGAGACTCCCATTCGAAATTCTGGTGCTGCGCTGTCCAGCGGATGACGATGTCACGAAATGGTATAGTCTGGTCCAAGGTTAATCCTGGGAGTGCTCCGTCCACAACTCCGTACGCGGATAAAGGATCGGTGTCCTCCTCTGGGTCCCATGGGTGGTGACATCGAGTTGTGTTCGACTACTTCTCGCGTGGTGAGCCTTGAGGAGAAGTCAAGGGAGGCTGACTACGTGTCAGCGCTTATCCTGTTAAGTGAGCAGTTGCAGGGTGCTCAGCCGGCCGGACATGTTGATAGTAAGGTACGCGAGCCTGTAAGGCTTGCGTTGACGTGAGACGCTAGTCGTCGTGCATGGGATGCAAAAGGTGTGATTCAAAAAGATAAAGTAACCCTAATGTAGGGTTCTAATTCATATATACAATCTTCAACTATAGACAATAGTAAACACGGCGCGTGATGTCAATGATAGAGTCCGCAATAATACTACTTCACACCTCCGATCTATCAACGATCTCCTAAACAAGCTTAAAGGAGCCACAGTGTTCACGAAGCTAGATATCCGATGGGGATATAACAATGTCCGAATTAAACAAGGTGATGAATGGAAAGGTGCCTTCATCACTAAAAGAGGACTATTCAAACCAACAGTAATGTTCTTTGGATTGACCAATTCACCCACAACATTCCAAGCCATGATGAATGACTATTTCCCCGATATGATTGCCCAAGGATGGGTTTTGATCTATCTCAACGATATTCTCATATTCTCCAGAGACCCCAGACATCAACATGGACAAACTGAGAAAGTTCTAACAAGACTAGAAGAAAAGGATTTGTTCCTTAAACCAGAGAAGTGCGTTTTCAACACAAGAGAAGTCGAATACCTGGGTTTCATCATAAAACCAAATGAAATCTCCATGGACCTGACAAAGTTAGCTGGAATACAAGACTGGATTCCACCGAAGAATGTAAAAGGCGTCAGATCATTTTTAGGATTTGGCAACTTCTACTGAAGATTTATTGGCAACTACGCAGAAACTGCCAAACCCCTGAACGAACTTACTAAGAAAACAAAAGTTTTCGAATGGTCACAAGAATGTCAAACAGCCTTCGATAACTTAAAGAAGAAGTTTCTAGAGAAACCCATCCTAATCATCCCTGATCCAACAAAACCATTTTACGTTGAATCAGATGCGTCCAAATGGGCTACAGGAGCCGTTCTCTGACAAAGAGATATGAACAGAGATTTGAAACCATGCAGTTACATTTCTCACAGTTTTACTCAGTTAGAAAGGAACTATGACATATATGACAGAGAACTTCTAGGCATCATACGAGCCCTAGAAACGTGGAGACACTTTCTAGAAGAAAGTCCACACCCTGTAACAGTATTTTCAGATCACAAGAATCTGACATACTTCCGAAAAACGCAGAAACTGAACCGCCAACAAGCCAGATGGAGTTTATACCTATCAAGGTTTAATCTTCAACTCATTCACGTTCCTGGATCAAGAATGATCCAATCCGACGCCCTATCCAGACGACCAGATCACGTCCCTGACAATGACGACGATAATGAAAACCTTGTCTTACTCCCAGACAAGATATTCATTAATCTTATTAATGTTGAACTTGCAAAAATGATTGAGTCAACAACAGCTTCAGACAAATTAGTAAAGAACATATCAGATGTTCTTTCTATGAAAGGAATTCCGCCGATTAAATCAAGCCTTTCCAATTGGAAAATAGAAGATGGAAAACTTTTCTATCAAGACCGATGCTACATTCCTGATAGTAACGGAATACGGAAACTCATCATACAAGAGTTTCACGATTCACCAATGACCAGACACCCCGGATAAGACAACACATTAGAAATGGTGCAAAGACATTACTGGTGACCAAGATTACGCCACTTTGTATATGAATATGTTGCAGGATGCGCCACGTGTCAACAGAACAAAATTAACACACATCCTACGCAACCACTGACACAACCAATTAAGTTCACAGCAACATGACCCTTTCAGATGATATCACAAGATTTTATATATCAGGATTACCAAAGACAAAACGAGGCTATGACTGCATAATGGTTGTGGTAGACCATGGCCTTACAAAGGGGGTAATTTTCATCCCAACCAACAAAGAATTAACCGCCCTAGAAGCCGCCGAACTTCAAACAAGCCATTTTCCAAAGCGTCTACAGACCTAGCCGCTCAGTATTTTTGACTGATTCTTTGATAGGCTCATTCAAGTTGACCAGAGGTATGTTCTGGCTACCTTGCCAGTTAGCACATTTTTTTTTTTTCAGATGCCAAAAATGGCCTCCAGAATAAAAACCTTCTCAAGGCTCCAGCTTTCACTGAAATTAGTCCATACCAAGGGAAGTGTAACACAACTACATAATGTAAAAGAATACACAAATACATTTGAGGTACAATAGATTCTTAGAAAGAACCAGAAAAATGAACCAACCTTCATTCTTTTTGCACTCAACTGTATCTTCAAATCTTTCATGATTGGCTGTGTATAATGTTTTACAGTTTGGACACTTTCCTGTAAGCACAGGGACATCTTGGTATACTCTCTGCTCTTTGATCAAAGTAACCAATGGTATGTCACTACTTTTGGTAGATTGACGCTGTCCTTTACCCTCCCCGGCTTAATCCATATGGAATCCATGGAAGGGGGGTGGATTCCAGGAATTCCAGATGGATTCCATGGAATGGCTGATGGACTCCATACTTTCTGGAGATGGGTTCCATGGAATGGCTGATGGACTCCATACTTTCTGGAGATGGATTCCATGGAATGGCTGATGGACTCCATGCTTTCTGGAGATGGATTCCATGGAATGGCTGATGGACTCCATGCTTTCTGGAGATGGATTCCATGGAATGGCTGATGGACTCCATGCTTTCTGGAGATGGATTCCATGGAATACCTGATGGACTCCATACTTCTTTCAGATGGAATAAGTCCCAATTCCACAATTATTATCATAGAATCACAATTTCAGACTTAATCTGTAAAGTTCCATCTTAAACACTAATAAATGAAGAAAACTAAGGTGTATTGAAACAGACTACATAACTTTATTTTACTACATATAATATTAAAGGCAGGGGGAGGGAGAGGTATAGATATAGAGTGATCAAGGGAGGGGGAAGTGATGGAGGCTAGTGGGAGTTGTGGAGAATGAGGGAGGGGAGGGGTGGAGAGTGATGGAGGGGGAAGGAAAGGTGGAGAGTGGGGGAGCAATTGGATGAGGGGGAGCAATTGGAGGAAGGGGAGCAATTGGAGGAGGGGGAGCAATTGGAGGAGGGGGAGCAATGGGGGAGGGTGTGATGTGGAATAAAGATGGAGGGAGGGGGGGGGGAGGGGGCTCACCCGGGCTCGTCACTGCATTCGTGGATGGGCGGCGGACATTTTCGGTGGGCGGGGGACGTTGTTTCGTGGGCGGTGGATGTTTTCGGTGGGTGGCGGATGTTTTCGGTGGGCGGCGGACGTTGTTTCGTGGGCGGTACATGTTTTTCGTGGGCGGCGGACGTTGTTTCGTGGGCGGTACACGTTTTCGGTGGGTGGCGGACGTTGTTTCGTGGGCGGCGGACGTTGTTCGTGGGCGGTGGGCGGCGGACGTTGTCTTCGTGGGCGGGGGACATTGCTGGTGGGCGGTGGCCGTTGGACGTCCTTGGTGGTGGCCGTTGTTTATGGGCGGTTGGCATCGTTGGCGGTGGGCGTCGTTCATGGGCGGTGGAATCGTTTTCGTGGGCGGGAACGTCGTTTGCGGTCGCTGGACGTCCGTGGGCGGTCGTTTTCGTGGGCGCTGGTCGTCGTTGGTGTGGGGTCGTTGACGTTGGCGGGCGCTCGTGGTGGTGGGCGCTCGTTGATGTTGGTGTGGTGTGTTGGTGGGCTGTTCGTGGTGGTGGGTCGTCGTGGCCGAGCAGATACGGCGAACGACGACCGATGTCGTCGTTCGCCGTCTGGTTGCCACGTCGCGACGTGGCACCTGTGGTTTGGTGTTAAAAAGGAGAGGGGTGGGGTGGTTGTTCCCACTTACCTGGGCTGGGCCCTCGTCACGCGTCGTCAGCGTCAGCGTCGTCGTTGTCGATGTCGATGTCGCGGGCGGTCGTGGTTTGTAACGGTGGTGGTGGATGGTGATGGTGGTGGTAGGAAGGAAGGAACGACGTGGCAACGCTTCAGCCACAGCTGTCACGTTTGACGCGGCACGTGCCCAAAAGCGGTATATACATACCTTTAGTTTCTCATATATTAATGCCTTCGTGGCTCAGTTGGCTTGAGCACTGCTTACATTCCCGAGGTTGAGAGTTCAATTCCTCAAGATGTAAAAAAAATTTATTTTACTTAAATATAGTAAGGACACTGTATTCTGATAGTATAATAGTCATTCATTCCTTCCATGGAATCCATATGGACTGCTCCATGGAATCTATGTGGATATGCCTGCATTCCATATGGAATTAATCATTCCATGACCATTCCAGCAGCATTCCATATGGAATCCATGATGTCCATGGAATCAAAAACTGGCTGTGTCCTCAGCCAACATTGATTCCATGGATTCCATATGGATTATACCGGGGAAGGTAAAGACCTCGATTGACGCAATGATCTTGGACTACAACTCTGAATTTCACATGCAAATGAAGGGGGGCAAATGACATAAGCTGGTTCTATCTTGCTGTGTGATAGAGGGAGTAATTTTCCTTTATAACCCCCCTTCTCATCAAATGTTGATAGTTTCAAGCAGCCAGCCAGCTTGTCAAATTTTCCAGCAAGAAGATCAACTTTTGCCTTTTCATCTGGCTCTCATGCAAGTTCATTTTCAGAGAATAAAGTTTCAACCCTCTTCTTTCCAATTCTCAAATAGTGTGAATGAGATTGTGAGAACAGTTGCCAAAGAAATATTAGAGCCAAAGATTGTCTGGATTGCATCACTAAATATGCTGAATGGAATATTTGGAAAAGGACATTGCCCTGAAGAGGTAGCAGATGCCAATGAAACTAGATTTGACCAGATCAAGAGCCAGACTAAAATCCAGTGCTGGGATACAAGTGATATAGCTGATGACAAGAGCAGAAAAGTAAATCTGAAAAGGAAACTAGAACTATTGTACAAATCAGTATTTCTTCTTTCATTTACACTCCAAACACATCAAAAAGAAAAGAAAGAAAATCATAACACTACTTACTCAGAAGCTTCTTCCTCATCTGAACCCCTTGCCTCTTTCAACTTCTTGTGCTTTCTCTGCACCCATGGTCAGTCTTTATCATGATTCTTCTTCTTTGGACTGTCTGAGGCTTTCCTCTTTCCCTTGGGATCACGTCTCTTCAGCTCTCCCTCCCGATCTTTATCCTCAAGCCACTTCTTCAAGTCAGGAAAGGTCAGAGATCAACTGGTCTTAATCCCCAACAAATCCTCAGTGCAGAGGCAATCTTCCAAGTCATCAAGCCAATCTTGCATATCTGGATACTCCTGTGCTCGTAAAAACAATGGCTTCCAAGTTTGGTAGAACTGTGACTTGGTGATGAAAATATCAATGAAGGTGATGATGCTGGGAACCCAGATAGCTGCATCATTAAACTGTGCCTTCCACTCAGCATCCTTGCCCAAGGTGATACAGAGTGTAACAATACACCCGGAAAAATGCGAATTTTAGCAATTTCTCCTATAAAACCTCCTATAGTAGAAATACAGTCATGTTGATCATAAGGATCGTTAGATGCAACCCAGTCTAGTTGATTAAAGTCTACATCCGAGAAATTTGCATGCCTTAGGCAGTAGGAATTGCAGTCGGTTCATGACCGAATCACTTCAATATACTCGAAGTCTAATAAAAGGCTACACTACCATGAAATAGTACACTACAGAGTGTCCTAGAGTAAAAACACCTCAGCACAGGGTGTTGGAGTTTACACCAAACCAGGGTCTCACTTTACTATGGATTAAAAGATATTAATTCTACAAATAAATGCACAAGCCTAGAAACTCGATGCATACCTGACTCGAGAAGTCATTCAGTCACGTGCTACAAAGCATGATCCAAGAAGTCATGTGGGGAAATGCATCACGCGCATCAACACATCACAAATCATGGCATCATTGGCCCAAGAAAGATGGGCTTCGTGAAATATTCCGAAGTCTGCCAAAAGAGAAAGACTATGAACGATTTGCTGTGCGGTCTGAGACCCAGGCATAGTATCTAATAATAGAGAGAAAAATCACTAAGCAGACCGTTCGTCTCGGCTGAACCGATCGTGAAAACTGTTTATGGCGATTCCTGCATACACATCAATACTGATGTGTCGTGTCGCCACAATAGAGAAAACATTACGAAAACTTAAAAGAAGTCAGCTCAGTTGTACCACACACAATTGAGCCGCTTCAAACCTTTAC